GTACAAACAATTAGGTTACAATGTTTGCATTTTTCATTTGTTTGTTTGGTTTTTTTGAGGCAGAGTCTCACTTTGTCGCCAATGGTAGAGTGCTGTGGTGTCATAGCTCACTGCAACCTCAAACGCTTGTGCTTAAAGTAATTCTCTTGCCTGAACCTTGTGGCTGAGGTACCTTTCACAATGCTTGGCTATTTTTATTTATTTATATTTTTTGAGACAGAGTCTCATTATGTCACCCTCGGCAGAGTGCCCTGATGTCACGGCTCATAGCAACCTCAACTCTTGGGCTTAAGTGATTCTTTTACTTCAGCCTCCAAGTAGCTAGGACTATAGGTGCCTGCCACCATGCTTGGCTATTTTTTGGTTGTAGTTGTCACTGTTGTTTGGCAGGCCCGGGCTGGATTTGAACCTTCCAATTCCAGTGTATGTGGCTGGTGCCCTTAGCCTCTGAGCTACAGGTACTGTGGCTTTTTTTTTTTTTTTTTTTTTTTAAGAAATGGGGTTTTGGTTTTGCTCAGGCTGGTCTTGAACTCTTGAGCTCAAGGGATCCACCCACCTAAGCCTCCTAGAATGCTAGGATTACAGGCATGAGCTACCTTGCCCAATACCTGACTATTTTTAGAAATGGGGTCGCACTCTTGCTCAGGTTGGTCTTAAACTCCTGAGCTCAGGCAATCCACCCGCCTCAGCCTCCCAGAGTGCTGGGATTACAGGTGTTAGCCACAGCACCTGGCCATAAAACAAGTTTTAAGAATTAAACCTCTTTGTTTTTATTGTCAGTTCTTGGGAATTAGAGTAGAGAACTAATGGATACAAGCACTCTAGGGTCAGTTGAGCCCAAGAGTTTGAGGTTGCTGTGAACTATGATGGCAGGGCACTGTACTGAAGGTGACCAAGTGAGACTTTGTCTCAAACACAAAACAAAACAAAACTTGTTTTATTATTGTTATTTTTCTAAAACCTGATTGTATTTATTAAAAAAGAACTTCTATTTAAAAAGGTAACAGACACAGAGCAGCACCTGTAGCTCAGTGGGTAGGGCGCTGGCCACGTACACTGAGGCTGGCAGGTTCGAACCCAGCCCAGGCCTGCTAAACAACAATGACAACCACAACAAAAAAATAGCCGGGCATTGTGACAGGTGCCTGTAGTTTCAGCTACTTGGGGGGCCAAGACCAAGGGAGTCGCTTAAGCCCAAGAGTTTGAGGTTCCTGTGAGCTGTGACACCATGGCACCCTACTGAGGGCTACATAGTGAGACTCTTTCTCAAAAAAAAAAATATGAAAAGGTAACAAACAAAAGGGATGCATTTAGAATATTGTTTTATTTGTCTAGTTATTTTTAGGCAACTCAAATCTTTCCAACTCAGAAAAATTCTACAAAGTTCTGAAGCAGAAGAAAAAAACCAAATAAAAAACTGAGCCCCTATGAGAGTATGCTTTTATTTTTAGACAGCAGAATATTTAGTTTAGTATTACATAGAGTGTATGATTCTGGTCTTTTCCTTTTCCTAGACAGTCCTCAGTGTTGTCTTAAGTTAATCAGAGTATTGGGACTTTTAGTCTGTGGTCAGCAGAGAAGGGTGGAAGGAGACTGAGCTTGAAAAATGAAGGGAAGAGGTACCAGTTGAGAGCAGAGTCAGTTGCAGAGGTACAGTGACCCTTAATTACAGACATAAAAGCACTTCCCCTGTTTCCTGTGCACACAGTATGAGAGTCGTAACTTACAATCTGTCTGGGACAACACACTCCTTACTAGCTCCTGAATCCATTCAGCGCAGTGCCCCAGATTACTTGCTTGTACTATTTGATGACATATTTAGCTACCTTATTTGTAAAGGTTTTTTTCTTAATCTGTTGATTATATAAACTTGTTGAAAATGGCCCTTTATGCTCTGTTTTACTTAATGAAGTAATACTGTTCTAGGATAGTTTAGAATTCATAATGCAAAAAAATCATAGTTTCTTAATGGAACTGGAAGTTGTTATTTTCAGCAATGCTGTGCTAAAGAAATAGGTACAAGAGCAAGATGAAATTGTTATTTTAATAATTAGTGTGTTTTTTGTTGTATTGTTTATATTTTTCTCTTATTGGTAAGTATTCATATACTCATATGATCATGAAAATCAGTTAAAAATGGGGAAATACTTTAAGTCCATAATCTGTATAGCTAGATAAGGATTTCTAGCATATCTAGCTAGAATATCAGTACTTCTGCTTCTCGAGATCATTAATGCTTTGTATATAGGTAGAATTTTGACTGACTTTAGAGTTTTAGGTCTATAATCACACTTGGGAAATATTTTTCCTGTATGTCTGTAAATTGCAACACCTTTCTATAGTATAATTATAGATTTATTTGGGTATGTCACAGTTTTGCAACTGGGTATTTTTGAATGTAGTAATAATTGCCTTATTTTTAAAAAATGATTTGTACTTCATATATATTGTGTTCTGTTAATAATAGGTCCTGAGCACAAGAAAGTAATATTTTCTGAGTGTAAGATTATTTGTTGTTTGATTTATAATTTGAAGCACAAAGAGCTGATATTTATCTAGTCCTATGATCTGTTAAAGCTTTGGTGTATTTCTGTTATTCAAGCTGGTTATGTTCATTCATTTGAGTCATAATTTCTGATAACAAATTGTACTTTCAGGGTCCAAATTTTCGTATCTGCCAAAAGAGAAAATTAATATTTAATGTTCTTCACCCTCTAAAATTCTTTGATTTTTATTATTGGTAAATTTCTGCTACTAAATTTCAGAAGCAACTATGTCTTTGCATATGGTGATAATTTCAATATTAAAATATTAGTAACTCTGTCTTCTTTGATTTGTGGAGAATTTTAGTTCAGGCCAACAGTATGCCAATATATAACTTAAGATCAAAGATGAATAAAATAGGCTCCGCACCTGTAGTTCAGTGGCTAGGGCACTGGCCACATACACTGGAGCTGGCAGGTTTGAACTGGCCAGGGCCTGCCAAACAACAATGACAATAACAATAACAAAAAAAAAATAGGTTTGGTGCCTGTAGCATAGAGGTTACGGCACCAGCCACATGCACCAAGGGTGGCAGGTTCGAATCTGGCTGGGCCATCTAAACCACAATGACAACTATAACAAAACAAACAAACAACAACAACAAAAAAATGAGCCTTGTGGCAGGTGCCTAGTAGTCTCAGCTACTTGGAAGGCCAAGACAAGGGAAGCGCTTAAGCCCAAGAGTTTGAGGTTACTGTGAGCTGTGATGTCACTGTACTCTACCAAGGGCAACATAGTGAGACTGTGTCTCAAAAATAAAGATGAATAGGGCAGTGCCTGTGGCTCAAAGGAGTAGGGCTCCGGCCCCATTTACCAGAGGTGGTGGGTTCAAACCTGGCCCTGGCCAAAAACTGCAAAAAAAAAAAAAAAAAAAAAAGAAATGAATAAAATAGAGACTCTCCCTTGATGGACTTTAAAGTAAATTGAGTAAATAATATTTCAGAGCCTTTGCCTTTTTTTTTTCTTTTTTGAGACAGAGGTCACTACATTGCCCTCCATAGAGTGCTGTGACGTCACAGCTCACAGCAATCTCAAACTCTTGGGGTTAAGTGATTCTCTTGCCTGAGCCTCCCAAGTAGCTGGGACCTCAACAATGCCCTGCTATTTTTTGGTTGCAGTTGTCATTGTTGTTTAGCAGACACAAGCCAGGCTTGAACCAGCCAGCCTTGGTGTATGTGGCTGGCACCCTACTCATTGAGCTACGGGCGCAGAGCCAGAGCCATTGCCTTTTTAATAGTCTTTGTTCTACCAGACTTGTTTCTTTGTATCCTAAGGCTTTTACTTGTTCAGTTCTTCCTTTATCTATTCCTGATACAGATCTAAAGTTGAAAATCTAATCACAGCCTATCTTTGATGCATATTTATATTTTGCATCTAGAGGCCAATGTAATTGTATATGTATACTGGTGGTGCCATTGTTTGTACTGTGCTTTCTTAACTTTATTGTTTTCTTGAATAATTTGTTGTTTTGAAAAAGAATGTTGCTGTGCCATAATGTTTTATCATTAAACATTAAATGTTAAAGATCGTTGATCTGCTTTTCATCATATGCATATACATGTATCAAAGGGACTAAAATAAGGATTTATAATAAAATGCAAAGGTATTGTTACATATGGGCTTAAGTATTCAATCATATTAATATTTTGATGAATGGCTGTATTTTAAATATTTTTAACCTTGATACATTGATTTTGTTAAATGTTTTATAAGTATTACTGTGTATAAATCTTTTGTATAATTTTGATTTAATAGGTGTTTCATAGAAACAAATGATCTTCATAGTTATTTATATGTTTCAGATTGCTAAGAAGCCTCGAACACCAACCTCTGGCCCAGTAATCACGAAGCTGATCTTTGCAAAACCAATTAATAGTAAAGCAGTTACAGGACAGACAACTCAAGTCTCCCCTCCAGTCATTGCAGGTTATATTTCTTTATGGTTTATTAAGCTGTGTATTTATCTTCCTTTTAGGTTTAAAAAGGGCTGTTCTGCCACCTTAAAATGTTTTAGTGAAACAAGTATAGCTTATTATTATAAGCAAAACTAGTTAGTAAAGAATGTTATGCTTAGTAAATGAATGCCTCAAGCAAAATGTCTTATCTCCAAATCAGTCCGTTACTTAAGTCTCCTTAGGTTATAGTAGCAATTTACCATGAAAGTAGCAAATTCTTAGAGTGTAATAATGCTAACATTCATATAGTGCTTACTATGTGCCAAGCACCATCCTTAGCTCCTTACATATGGTGACTTTGATAATTCTCCAGCAGCCTCAGGAAGCAGGTGGTAATAACATAAACATTTTGCCAGCATGGAAATGGAGGCACTTGGTCAGCAAATGGCTGAGCTGGAATTTGAACGTAGGCGTTTTGTCTCTAGAACATGTGCTAAGTGTCATAGATTTACATCAGTACACATGGGTATGGTACTACATGGTTTCTGTTTGAACTTTTGGTTTCAGTGTTTTAATATATTCTACATATAATTCTTTGTGAATAGAAGATTACCACAATGATAGTAATTCGTTAAATGATAATAGATGTTAGATACATTACTTTTACCACCACACTCCTTAGCTTGGCCCAGTTTTATTTTATACATTACAATCTGTCATGACCTGTAACTATCTCACCTCAGAAATCTTGACTTCAGACATTCCATTTTTTTTAGTCTTTCAGTGTACTTGCCTTTATTCTCCCGAGCCTAGAATGTTTGACTCAACATGTCTGATGCATTGATTCTCCCCCTTTCCTAGTAACCACACCCTTCTTCTCCAGTTTATCCTTACTGAAGATGGAGTCCATGGCCCCTTATTACCACTGCCTTGCAGACATCATCGATTCTCTCCCCTGTGTCTTTCACTCACGTCTTGGTCAAGTCCAACTGTCTTACTCCTTGTCTGGCAAGCAGCTATACAGGCAGCTTAGTTCTTCCAGAGAAAAATCACACAATCATGTGACTGTATCATTTTTTAAAAAATCTTTTGTCTGTTTGTTATTAGATGTTACCACAGCCTAGTGGCTGGCCTTTAGTTCAGAGCTATGTTACGTTATTCTTTTCACCAGTTATAAGACCATTTCTAATTCCCATCGAGCTAAAGGCTTATTTGGAAGCACCTTTGGATAGTACACTTTTTTTTTTTAATTTTTTTTTTATTTTTTATTTTTTTGAGACAGGAGCCTCAAGCTGTCCCCCTGGGTAGAGTGCCATGGCATCTCAGCTCACAGCAACCTCCAACTCCTGGGCTCAAGCAAGTCTCCTGTCTCAGCCTCCCAAGTAGCTGGGACTACAGGTGCCCACCACAACTCCCGGCTATTTTTCGGTTGCAGCCGTCATTGTAGTTTGGTGGGCCCAGGCTGGATTCGAACCCGCCACCTTGGGTGTACATGGCTGGCGCCTTAGCCACTTGAGCCACAGGCGCTGAGCCTGGATAGTACACTTTTGATTAGAGACTTTCAAATTAATTACTCATCCCTGGAATGTGTATTCTTTTTTTTTTTTTTTTTTGAGACAGAGCCTCAAGCTATCCCCCTGGGTAGAGTAATGTGACATCACAGCTCACAGCAACCTCCAACTCCTGGGCTCAAGCGAGTCTCCTGCCTCCGCCTCCCAAGTAGCTGGAACCACAGGCGCCCGCCACAACGCCCGGCTATTTTTTGGTTGCAGCCGTCATTGTTGTTTGGCGGGTCCGGGCTGGGGATTCGAACCCGCCACCTTAGGTGTACGTGGCTGGCACCCTAGCCGGTTGAGCTATAGGCGCCGAGCCGGAATGTGTATTCTTGCTAAAGGAACTTCAAATGTTAACTAATCATCCCTAACGTATATGTTAAAACCACCTACTACTGGCTCGGAGCCTGTAGCACATGGTTATGGCGCCAACCACATATACTGAAGGTCGCCGGTTTGAACCCGGCCTGGGCCAGCTAAACAACTGCAACAAAAAATAGCTGGGTGCTGTGGCAGGCTGTAGTCCCAGCTACTTGGGAGGCAGAGGCAAGAGAAATGCTTAAGCCCAAGAGTTTGAGATTGCCGTGAGCTGTGAAGCCACAGTGCTCTACTGAGGGCGACATAGTGAGACTCTGTCTCAAAAAACAAACAAACAAAACACCTACTATTGCTTTTAATAAATTTCAGATGTAGCCGTAGGCAATGCTAAAGTCAATGGCAGTGATGTGTCATTTCAAGAGGCTTTGGTTGTACAAGGAGGCTTCTTATTTTAGCAAGTGAGGGAAGGGATGGGAAGATTTTAGTGTGAAGATGGTGTTGGGTGACTGTTTTCTTTCTCTTTTGGCCATCAGAAGAGATTTGTGACAGTATAGGAGGCTGCTGTGGGAGGCAGGTATGGCCCCACTCACATGTTGGAAAGTATTTGGGTTGGCAGCTGATTCAGGAAGTGGTTTGCAAGAGGCTGAAAGTGAGCAAGTGTGGATATATTGATGAAAAGGAGGCCATTAGTCCCTTGGGATGTTTTGAGTGTCGAAGGGGTTAACCAGAAGGAATGTCTCAATGCAATGTTCTCTACTGTTTACAGTTTGAGAGAGTCCCTGAAAATTTTAGTTAATGGGAAGGGGAGCATTGTATGCTAAACAATTGTAGTATTTACAAAAGTATCTGAATGAATTTTGATTAATGTTAAGAATTTGCCTGGACTATCATAGACTGTCACAGATGTCATTGCTTGGTCTTTGGGTCACTTATAATGTGTTCCAGACTAATTGTACCTTTACCTTTTAATTTTAGACAGACTTGATAGTCCTACAAAAATGCAGAGATAGACATCTGTTGACTTTCACTAGAATTATTGGCATTAAGTTTATTTTAGGGGATAATTTCTATTTTTAACATGTTCCTTATTGCCTTTATAAATTTATACAAGCCCAATTTTAACCACTAAAGTAGCTGTCCTGTTAAATTAGTTCTGTCACAAGTAGATCCCAGCACTGCTGACGTTGCAGTCTTTACACATGCATGTGTGTGTTGCCACTGGTGCTCTTTCAGAGTTCACTGAGGTTGGTTCTTTTTTTT